TATTAACAAAGTTTGTGTACTCAGACCAGTAATATTTGGGGTTACAAGTTTTTATCATGGATATTTTGTGGGTCAGAAGATAAAAAGTTTGGGAACCACTGGTCCAGAGCCCTGCCATGCCTCGGATACCCTGTAGATGATGCAATGACAATAGGCGGAATCAGGTCCTGAAGATGTTATAATGAAGTGACTTCCCGGTTTAGGGGCTGAAGGCAGAGATGAGCTATAGAGCTAATAAACCTGCTTTCCAGTCCAGCGCTGGCTGTTGTATAACTCTTTTCACATTCAAACATTCAACTATTAGTGCATTGTCTATCTGGTTATGAACATGTATTAAGGTAAACAAACATGCCTAAAGTATTCTTCAAGTATATCTTTCAAGAAACTCTTCAAATTTTGACTCCATTTCATCCACAAATGACACGATTCTCAACTTTATCTGCTTGGTGTTGCATCCAAAACAGTTCGACGTGAACTCGCCGGGCAGTTTATTGTGCGACACCGCGAACATAAAAATTTGATCTCTGCGTGGACCAGTTCAGTGGACGGCCGCTTCGAGTCCGCACGGACCTCTGTGGATCGAAGTACACCGGGCCTTTAGACTCTCAAATGCCTGTCAGAGCACATCACAGCTACAGAGTGTTTGCCTAAATTTATTTTTATCTTTTTGTTTTCTTCTGAAGCATTGAAGTCAAATGTGGATACCTGTTTGAACTTCCATTGAGGTTTTTTTTATTGAGGCTTGCGCTAAAATGTTTTAATCAGAAAACGATACGACAGACATAAAAAGAGACTCAAAATTAGCAAAAATCTTAGTTTCACACCCAAGTAAGAAGGTCACACAGCTTTAATGAGAAATCACGTTTTTGTGGCACAACTTTTCCTCTTAAAAATTCATGAGATGGGTGTTTCATTAACTCTTTAGTCTCGAGGTCCGGTCCATTGTGATGAAGCAGGGAAACATCTAAATTATGCAGTGGGTCACAAGGAACACAGTTGAAGACTTCTGCTCTAATCCATATATATGTAGCAAGTATACTTGTTATCTTCTGTCATTATTTAATTGCCTAATAAAACAAAGTCCCATCAATGCAAGTACTTACAAGAAATAAGGGAGGAAGCCTGGGTAGTAAGGAGGAGGAGGAGGGGGGAGAGGCTGCTGCAGCCGGTATCTCTGTCCATTCACTCGCCTCGGCAGCATGTGGGGATATGGCTGAGGAGAGAGGGGGCAAAAAAATGACACGTCACACATAAACCCATGATTTTCATGTGTTTTTCTAAAAAGACAGAAAGTTCAACATCTTGGAGAACAAGAACAAAGGTAACAATACTGGAACCAAACTGCACATTCAAAAGGATTTATATTAAATTCATGTTATTTTTATGCTTTTGGAAATAAAACCAGTGTTTAACCAAGACTCCTAGACTTTGGAAAGTAATGTTGGGTAATGTTAACTTCCCATGTGCCATCATCAGTCTAACTGCTGGTCAGTGATATATTGGCGCATATGATTTCAAGCAGCTTGTTTTTACGAAGGAGAACACAGGGCAACTTTTATTTTCCCTACAACTGTGGAAGCTTGCCAAAAAGCTACTAATTACTTTGATTTTAAAACAAGGAGTTACTCAAACCCTTTGACAAGAAATAAAGCAGATCTGATCAGCCAACTTTGGGCTGAAATTAAGACCTATAAACAACATCATTAGGTCAAGAACAGATGCGTAGTTAAATATGAACACATTTTGTCCCAACAAGGGATTTTTTTAAAGCTGGAACCTGCAGGAAAAATAGCTTTACCCTTAATTTATGGTGCTCTGTCGCGCTACGCTCCGACCTCCGCAGTAAAAACGCACTCATTACAATCAATGAGAGCATTTACACCGAATCCGCGGGGCGGCAGCGGTGTTTGCACGAACATCCGCCAAAATTAGATTACATCCTATTTTTGCCGTACAGCACAAACAGGAAAAGGAACGAGAAAAACATCTGTATTTTCAAAATAATTCTCCAAGGGCAGACTACATTTTGTCAAACTCCTAGTTATATTAATAAATATATATGGGTATAATTATACACCTGTGCTGTCAAAATGTATGATTAGGAAGCGGGTGGCAGCATGCAGCATATGGATACACACAAAACGTGTGGATTTAATTTTGAAATATAAATACAAAAAAAACAGCTATACAGTTTCAACTGTTGCTTCCAGTCAAGTTTAACTTTCACATCATCACTGGATTTATTGCACAATCTCACATTTCCTGTGCATGCTTCCTGGAGCACCTCTGTGCTTCGAGCCACAGGCAGTGTAAACTGGGGTTTAAACAATTTAATTTTCCCAATGAACTACAGCATGCTGCGCAGCGAGAGCACACCAAGGAGAAGAAGAGGTAAGTGTCAACAATTACTGTTAGTTCCACTGGAAACGTTAAACGGCCATGGCTTCATTGTTCTGAACAAAACCTTGTTACAAAACTCAGTGAATAAGCTGCATTTATGACAGAAAAAGTGATTTTTTTTGTAAAGGTGTTAATGAATATTTGAGCTCAAACTCAAAACATAAATAAGGTCATTAATCAGTTTCTTGCTGAAGCTAACAGACAGACCAAGTCAAACAGCTTTTAATMTGTTCACATTCATCTCTGAAGTTATTCAGAGAAATGACAAATGTCATCACTCAACCACTCAAATGAGCACTACACTATAAAATGAATCTATGTGATTTATTACAGCTAATTTTAATGACTAAAACTGTCTACAGACAAAAGCTTTAGTCAGCTTTAGTTTTGATCAACAAATGCCTGCCCTGGTTATGTGCAGCGTTTTGGGTAAAGAACACTCCTGTTCCAAAAACAGCTGCTGAGGTGTCTTTGAGCAACTTCCATCTACCCTCCATGCACCAGTTCAGCAGCTCAGAGGTCAGCAGAATGAGATTGTGAACATTATTAACATGCTTCAGCTGCAAATGTGTGCCACTGACGGAGTGTGAAATAGGTCACGCTAAAAAAAAAGTTGAACGTCCCCTTGGAAAAAAGAGACCCGTAAATGTCTGAGAGAAGATCTTACCACTCCGAAAGGAAGCTCCTGATGCAGAGGCTCTTGAGGAAGATACTGTAGGGGCAGTGAAGGAGGCAGTGCTGGTGGGTGATGTGAGGGAGGGTAGGAGAAGGTGCCTAATGGGTGCTGGTCTCCTCTTAGGTCAACTTCATTCTCTACCCTCTGTAGAGGCTGACAAGAGAGATGCTTACACACTGACTAATAACTGAAAACATCCTGTTGTGTTTGCAATAATAAACGTGTCTTGAGTCAAATACTCACCATGCGTGGGTGCTGAGGCTGTAAAGGGACAAACTGGCTCAAAGGAGCAAGGTGCGGCGGCTGGTGGGGGGGTACAGATGGGGTCGGGTGCAATACAAAATGCTCGCTGGAGATCAGCGGTGGGAAGGCTTGATAAGACACAGGAATATGCTGCATGGTACATGCCTGTATGAGCTGAGGAGAAAACATAACACAACAGACTTAAATTTAAGCATATAAAGCTCTCCTCTCTGAAAAAGCCCTTACCTAACCAAAGCCAATTTACTCTAAATATTCATAACACCTTAATGACAGCATGTTGTAAGCATGGTAGTGAACAGAAGCAACGCACAGCATAAAACCACACCAATCACAGTACTAACACAACACCAGTTTGATTCATGAAATAGCTGTTTCTACAACACCAAATTATGCATTTCTTTAAAAAATATTTAATTTACTCTTGTTTAGCTTTAGTAATAACAGGCTAAATTATAAAACCAAGCTCCTGATTGTTTTTGTCATGAACAGTGACAAAGTGCATGGCTGCTATGGTGTGCTACATGGAAGCCACTGACATTTAAGCTCTTCCTTTTCAAACTCACAGGAGGAGGAAGGCAGCAGAGCAGAGAGAGCTGTCCGCTGAACATTACCGAGCATGCTGGGAGCTGCTGAGCGCTGCACCCTGGAAGGGGCTGCCCGGTGTGAATAGGAAACCCGTGGGTCGTCACAGTCGTAACAGTGTACGAGATCGGAACCGATCCCTGGTGCATCTATCGTAACGAGAGGTGGGTGGGGGGGGAGATGGGGTCATTTCACTTCTGTGTTAAGACATTTCTGCGCATCTTATTTAACCGAAACGTTGTTGTGATATACATTTGATTTAAGACGCAAAGCAGCTTTTAAACAAAGGATTTTAAGAGTACCTGATCGTGTAGATCCACCATGATGGGGCTCTGCTGGGGCAGGTGGGCAGCAGGGTGGAGCATGCGTGGTGCTGTGCTGGTGAGGCTGAACTGTCTAGACTCATCTAAAGCAATCTGTTGGGGATGTTGGGAGAAAAGCAGCTGATGGAAGTTCTCATCCTGGACTGGGGAACCGTGCAGGACGGGTCTGTCTCGTCTCCCCCACTGGCGTCTCACTGGTGGACTTTGAGGTCAGACAGAAAAAGAAATGAATTGCCAGACTCTGATCAAAAAAAGTCACAAAAGTCTGAAAAAGGATATTTGTTCTTAAGTTTTTTTAAATTGTTATTTTAGAGTTGTTGCTGCTGTTGACCACATAATCCTAATATATAAAAATATGGCAGGATTAATTTTCCAGCATTCATAAAACAAGAAAGTTTGATGAGCCATTAGTGGGGTGGGCCGACCCTAGAATGTTTTATGAATTGTTTTGAAGATGAACAGCATTAGATACTGTAATTAAATGAATAACTGTGCAGCCCAAACTTTCCAGTTGCATTAAACCACTGACTCATTTGATCCTGTCATCCTTTCGAGCTTATTATCACTGTGAAGTGAGAGATTAACAAGGGGTGCTCATTCTGTCACTCCTTTGTCAAAGTTATTACATTTCTCCATAAAAACTGCCTTAGTCACTGTTGGGTGTTTGTTCTGTCTTATTGAAATTGCCAACACAAAGCAAGTCACTCTTTAATATGGAATATACTTCTACACAAGTAAAGATATTTACAACTATTTACAAGTCTGTGGAAACAACTCAATTATCAACAATTATCATCCTACGATCTTCTGGCAAGATCAACAAGCTCACCCACCCATGTGATTCTAACAGAACATAAAGCAGTGTTGTTTTAAACCCTGTTAATTGATAAGTGCATTTCTTACATAGTTTGTGACAATAAACAGGTGGCTGAAACATTACCTTCTCCTGAGATGCACTGGAGCGTTGCAGGGCTCTCCAAAGAACCTCCTGGGGTTTAAGGGGGCTGTTGGTGGCAGCCTATTTACTGCTATTTCCCATGGTCGCATTGGTGACGTCGTGCAGACGAGTCACGCTCCGGGAGAGGAAACTTTATTGTGGAGGCACTTGTAAGTTGCCTCTGATTGTCTTTACCCTGCAAAAATGACATTTTAGCAGTCATTACCATATCAGTGAGGAAAATTATGTGATAACCCCCACCTTAAAAAACACACACCAGAAGAAAAAGGACTTTACATTACCTATTACTTTACCATTCATTTTTATTTAAAATATAGTTTTTACTTAAGCATGGTGTTGTACTGTAATATATAT